GGAGGAAACAACATTCAGAATTTCTACTGCCATCCTTAAATTCTAGAATCTGAAAAAACTCTCAATACACAAAGAGCTTTCTTCTGGCCTCATTTTTCACTTTTTACTTTTTTTGATGGTGTTACAGTGATTACTGCAACTAATCAAATACCATCAGAAGACCCAGAAAGTAATGATTCCTGCCTCCCCCCTCTCTAATCCATCTTACACACACCTGTCAAATTAATATAAGCAAAACACGGTAAAACTCTGCTAACTGAGATCTTGCAATGCTTCCTAGGCTACCCTGAGATAAAATGGGAGCTCCCCTGTTTTGCCCTTAAACCCATCACCATTTGGCCCCAGCCTAACTTTCAAGGCTGGTTACACATTATTCCTTCTCAATTCTATCTTCTAGCCAAACTGGCCAACTTTCTGTTTTCTATAAGTGACGTTCCATCTTCCACTTTCCACCTATGCCCAAGCTGTCTCCCCCATATCTAGAATACTCCTCCTCCTCATCTCTGCCTCTTGAAAACTAGCTCCTCTGAAGACTCACCTCAAGCAGCATCTACTTCAAGAGGACTTTCCTGATTTATCCAGTTGTTAATCCACCCTCCATTACCTTGTGTTTATTTTGTATATATCTTGTATTTCCCTGTGTGATGATGCTCTCCCCCTCTCAAGAAAATATAAGTCCTTAAAGGCAGCAACTATTTTTCCCCCTTTCTGTCTTCAGTACTGAGCATAGAGCCTGGCATTGCTTGATGAATTCAATTATATCGTGCTTCATAAAATCTTCAAAATCCTAGCATAATACCTATAAAGTATGCTCATCATCTCACTCACTCTTATGACTGTCTCGTGTTTCATATTTGTCACCTTTCTATTTTGTTCTGATTCTAGATAAAAACTCGCAAGCCTTTCCATAGTGAATGTTGCTTTGGCAAAAAGAGAGCCTTCTGCTTTTGCTGCCTTTTGGTCGCAGATGGAGGGAGGAGTTTTGCCAATAATTTCTATAGTAGAAGAGGGCTTCAATTTGAAGCCCTGTCTGCAGTCACTTATAGTAGCGGTAATGCTAATAGTATGCAAATGACCTGTGATTTCCATGGGATGGTCATCCATCCGTGATTTAATTGACTAGTCCCAAGTGGTTGTCCAGGTACATAGAGACTGGCATAACTGGCTGTATCTAACACCCTAGGCTGCCTCTGTAAGAATAATGATAACAATAATTATGAATCAATAAGCACTTATTAAGTGATTACTATGAACCAAGCACTGTTAGACTATTAGCTCCTTGAGAGTAGGGACTTTTTGTTTTTTGTTTTTGTTTTTCTTTGTATCCTCAGTGCTTAGCACAGTGCCTGGCACATAATAGGTACTTAATAAGAGCTTGCTGTCTTAATAAATGCTTATTCAACTGTTCGAAGTTTGGGGGATACGAAGAAATAGAAAAAAAAATCTTTGACCTCAGGGGCAACATTCTAACGGGACTTATTGATAGTTACAGTAGACAATTAAATGTAAGTCTTCCAAAGTACTTTTTATGAGCATCATTTCATCTGATCCTCACAACATCCGGGTGAAATAAGTACTATTACTATAACCACTTTTTCCAATGAGGAAGCTAAAAATTAGAGAAGTTAAGTGATTTACCCCAAGTCATAGAACTAGTAAGGCAAGACTGACCCTAGGCTTCCCAACTCTAATGCCAGCACTCATTCCTCTCTTCCTTGCCAAGAACTATTTCCCCTTGGAGAAAACAGTATCTCTCAGAGGAGGCATACTGAAAAAGCCACACCTATTAGATATTATCCTGATTATGCTTCTTTTACTCTGGGGGAGAGGAAATAAATTTCCAGAAATTGAAGGAATAGATGAATGAAAAAAGCATTTTTTAAATACTTGCTATATGCCAAGCAGCATGCTGAGGTCTGGGAATAAAAATAGAAAAATTAAAACAGCCCCTGTTCTCAAGGCTTTCATACTTTATTTAGGGGAGATAACACACACAAAAGTTCAGTTGTGGAGCTAATGGAAAGGTTTGGAAGGTCTCAGACGGGGCAGTTTGGAGAAGGAAATGGCAAACCACTCCAGCATCTTTGCCAAGAAAATCCAAAGAGGGTCACAGAGAGTTAGATACAATTGAAAACAACTGAACAACAGCAAAATAAGGGGCAGTATATGGCAAGGTCCAGCAATCCTTAGCTTACATAGTATATCAGATAATGCTAGGGGCCTTGAGGGCACAGAAGTAAGGGCAGATGATAAGGTCTAGTCATTGCCAAAAGAATTAGAAATTGTGTGAGCAGTCAAGTGGTTCACAGGCAGGAACTAAGGGAGGAGATGATGGAAAGACCAGGCAAAGGGCATCATCGGTGGTCGGAAGACTTCCTTCCTCCTAGCCTTTCTGGAGGAAATAAAGAAAGTGGCAGGCTTCCTTTGGAAATTTAGGAGCGATTGTATCTGTGGTTTTAAAATTTCTTCATGTGTCAGAAATACTTTGGTGACATTATGTAACAGTCCATGTGAACTCAATTTCAGCCAATATTTAATGGCCTTCATATAGTTTCTAGGTAAAAAGCTGAATCACATAATAAAGATTAAATCCAGAAACAATAAATTCTCATAAATACCATTCAACAGAAATTTCTGAAAAAAGATTGCTTGTACCCAGCCTACAGGACACTTTTTCCATTCTATATGGTATTCATCAATATTCTAGCACAACAAAACAATATGGACTGTCTTTTGCAAAGTATCATATAGATTCTGGCATGTTAAATTGATCTTTTGCTGGGATGCAGCTGACTCTCAAGTGCAAGTTTTCTGTGATCACATGTTTTTAAAAAAAGGATGTTATAAGTAAAAGCTGATTCTGCAGATTAAAATGGTCTCTTGCAAAACAATGGAAGAACCCTGGTTCAGGCACTTTCACAATTCAAACTGCAAATGTTGTTAGTCCTAGTTATCTATGTCTAATAAAATGGAGTGTTAAGTAATAGTCATCTCTGAAAGATACAAGGTGAGAAAGTAGAAAAAGAACTCTGCCAGATCTCTTATCTAATTCAAGGCATATTAATGGAAGCTTAGCAGTTTTCCCTTTCAGGTTTTTAGCCACCTTACTTCAGGTGTTCCCTGAGGCTACAATGGAAATTAATAGGATCATAACTCTAGAGCTAAAAGGAATCTCAAAGGTTACCCAATTCAACCCATTCATTTTACAGATGATAAAATTGAGGCTGAGGGGGTTAAATGATTTGTCCATGTTCCAGTAATAATATGAACCCAGGTGCTCTGACTTCAGGGCCAACATCCTTTCCCTGTTACCATGTTGCGTCCCACTGTGGTCTTGTAAAAAGCCTGACAAATGGTTTAATTTTTTCACATTTTCTAGTAGTTGATCTTTTCCCCTGTCATGATAAGGTATGGTAAACACAGTGGTATCAAACTTAAATAGAAATGGATCCCTGTGGGCTGCATATTGATTTAGAAAACAAAACAAAACAAAATAATACTATGTTGTAATGTATTTTTATTTATTTTGTTAAATATTTCACAATTACATTTTGATCTGATTTTGATCTGGCCACACTCTAGGAGCCTTATGGGCCACTGCTGTGGCAAAGCATTGAAGAAAGCTCTCTTTTCTTTCTTTTTTTTTCTCCTTCTTTCTTTTTCTTACTACCACCTTCCCTCACACCTAGATGGAGACAGCCTAGGACCCTGAACCCAAGAGTCTTTGAAAAAGGAATCCTTCTAATCCAATAGCTGTATCCATCATGCCAGGAAACAGTCCCTGCTGTCATTCCTGCAAGTACCACTTCTCCAGCTACTGAAAACCCAGAAAGCAAAATTCTTGTCATCAAAGACCTTGGCATTGTCAAATAGTTCAACATCAGAAACTGATGTGATTTTTTTGAGTGGAAGTGACATTTGAGAAGAGGCATTACCATCTGCTCTGCCACTGCACCCTAAGGACCATGGAGCCTTTCTGACTTGTATCTGAAACTTTCAATATGAATTGTCTTCCCAATTAGCATGTGAGCTCCTTGAAAGTAGGGACTGTCTTACTTTACCACTGTATTCTCAGCACTTAGCACAGTGCTTTACTCATAGTAAGCACTTAATTTCTTTTAAACTCTTCCTTCCTTCCTTCCTCCCTTCCTCCCTGCTTCTCTTCCTTCTTTTCTTTCTCTTTCTTTCTTGCTTTCTTCCTTCCTTCCTTCCTTCCTTCCTTCCTTCCTTCCTTCCTTCCTTCCTTCCTTCCTTCCTCCCTGCCTTCCTCCCTTCCTCCCTTCCTCTCTTCCTTCCTTCCTTCCTTCCTTATCTTGGATTTGAGGCATGAATAGAAAAAACCAAAACCTCAGCCAGGAGTTTTTCATCCGTGAGTCCCTGAAAGCTAAGTCTCTAAACATGACTTGCTGAGTAAACAATTTCCCTTCCCTTCAGTTCTTCCTCTCTTTGCCCCCCCCATCCCTGAAAAGACTGATGAATTGAGAATTCCAAAATCCAAACCTTATTCTAAATTTAATCCAAAGCTTCAACTACTGCATTACTAAAGATCTTCAAAGATTTGATTCATTGGAATAGGATGCTCTAATTCAAGATGAGAATGATTAACACAAACTAATTTTAAGTGACAAAGACAAACACAAAGCATTTGCTTTTCAGTACAGTGTATTGAGTACAAGTCTGGGAGTGAGTTAGGAGGACCTAAGTTCAGACACCTTACTAGTTGTGTCACACAGGAAGCCATTTAACATCTTAGTGCCCCAAATATTTCTTTAAGACTACAAGAATAGCTTTGTAGTATAATAGGGTCACTTTTTTTTTCTGAAGTAAAATCTAAAGGATATTAGAGTGAGTGGTCTGTATTATGTGTTTCAATTACCTGCTTGACTTTGTCACAAGAAACCTCTGATGAAGAGAGTATAATCTGTAAATCTATGTAATGTGTAAAAAAACACACACATTAAAGTGACCAAAAAAGAAAAAAAACAACAACCCCAACTTACCTTGTGGTCTGATGCTTTGTTGTCTGGAACAAGTTGCAACTGGACTGACTGGTGCCTTTGACGTTGTTCAGGAGAAGGGAATTCCTTTTTGACTGAATTCTTAGGGCACATAGATAGATCTAAGCCCGGATTGAGGTCCCTGGATGATGACCTTGCAGAAATAGCTCTGAATAGCTAATAGGATTGACATAAGAGAATTACCAAAACCCATCTATTAACAATAGGCCAGTGAAATAAAGAGCTTACAGCCTTCTTGTAAACATAAATTCTTTCTATCTCCATTAGGAATCAATTGTAAGAAGCTATTATACCTTGGCAACACCCTCAAAAAATTCAACAAGTGTGATTAGGAAAAAAAAAATTGATTTTCATTAAATTCTTGTGTTCTTTAAGAGTACATAGGAACTTGAAATCCTAGAAAAAAATATGATTTAGCTCATAAAGCTGAAAATTATCTCTATTTTCCACTTGGTTTAATAGCATATACATTGAGCATGAGAAAGTTAGCAACTGGATATGATAATAACATTTTGAATTTTGTTAGTACTTAAAATTATTTGACCTTTATATCTTTTATATTTATTTTATATTCGTTTCTAAATATGTCCCTCCTGCATTTCAAAATGTCCCTTCCTCTCCCCTACGCAGCAAGTAATTCATTGTAGTAAAGATTTTAAAAGAGATAGCAGTATAGCAAAACTAACCAATGCACTATGTCTGACAGTATTAGCAACATTCTGCATGTGTGATGATTGTGAGGATCAAATGAAATAATATTTGTTTAAAAAAAAAAAAGCACTTAGCACTATTCCTAGCACAGAGTAGGCATTTGTTATTGTTGAGTTATTTTGGTTGTTCCAACTCTTTGTGACCACATTTGGAGTTTTCTTGGCAAAGATACTGGAGTAGTTTGCTACTTCCTTCTTCTCATTTTACAGATAAGGAATTGAGGCAAACAGGGTTAAGTGACTTTCCCATGATCACACAGCTAGTAGGTATTAGAAGGTGGATTTGAACTTAGATCCTCCTGTCTCCAGGCCTGTTACTCTATCCACCATCTCACCTAGCTAGGTTCCTTTTCATTGATGTTCTTCAAGTATAGGCTGGACCACCACTTGTCAGGGATGTTTTAGAGAAGACTTATGGTCAGATACTGGTTGGACTAGATGACATCTGAGGTACCTTTCAAAACTGTCTTTTCAAGAAATTAAGCAGTGAAAGAGAAAGGAGAGATGGAACATTAAACAAATGGGATAAAAGGGCTGAGGGAAGAATTTTAATCAGATTGGAAGACCCATACATGTTTGTTAGACAGATGAGAAGAGGCCAATAGTGAGAGAGGAAAGAAGGTGAATGAAAAAGGGAGGATGACTGCTAATAAGGTCGTGGAGGAAAGTATTAATTAGCCTGGACACATCAAGCAATTCTTGGGTTTAAATCAGAAGTGCAAGAAATGATAACATAAGGAACTTAAAATTAGGAAAGTAAATTAAGATTTATTAGAAGAATCAGTGAATTGGGGCCAGGGGTGGTGGTACATGCCTGTAATCCTTGCTACTGGGGAGACTGAGCTTGAGATCTCTGAACTATAGTGGGCTCAGGCTGTTTATTATCTGAACTCAATCAGGCATCAATCCCCCTGGGAACAAGAACTCATCAAGTTGGCTAAGGAGGGGTGAACTGGCCCAGGCTGGAAACAGAGATCAAATATTTCATGCCCATTAGTAGTGGCATTAGGCCACGAGTAGCCACTGGATTTCTAGTCTGAGTGAAATGAAGAGACCTGCTCTTTAAAAAAAAAAAAAAAAAGGTATGGGAGAGTAAATGTACTCAGGTGTCCCTTTTCTTTTTTGCAGAATCAGTAGTTACCACAGACTCATAGTTAAATAGAATGCTGAACTTGGAATTAGGAAGACCTGAATTTGAATCCTGTCCTAGTCCTTATTAGCTGTGTGATCTTAGGCAAGTCACTTAGGCTCCCTCATTCTCAGTTTCCATATCTGTAAAATGAGGATGATAATAGTGCCTACTTCACATGGTTATTATGAAGCTCAAATGAGATAACATATCTAAACCACTTTGCAAACCTTAAATCACTATGTGAATGCTAGTTATTGTTATGAACCATTAGACTAGTCAGTCATGCATAACCTCAGGAACCCAGATTCTCAGTTATTGGGATCATGGCAAGTCTAGTCAATTAAAAACAAAACAAAACCCAACAATCAGGAAATGTGTGGATCATAGTTGAAACCAATGTCCTGTGTGCAATCAGTGCCCCATGGGACAGAGAAGGTTTTGAAAGGCTGGATAGAAAAAACTGCTGGCAGCACCTTCATGACAACCCCTGGAACAGTCTTTTCTAAGGTCCTTTAAGGACAGACAGAGGGCAGGAGGCTTGTGAAACAAAGGACATCATATCTCCAGGAAGGGGCAGTAGAAGGTAAGAGAAGTTAATCACTTATAAACAGCAACATAAGTGGAAAAGCAGAAACTCAGCATGGATAAATATCATACAGAGAGTTAATGGAGTTAGCCTAATTTTACCAGTTATTCCTGCCCCCAGTGAGTTGTTGGAATACCTCTTCTGTGACCTTAAAAGAGAGAAAGTAATGATATTGAGAGGGTTTGAGGAATAGAGGTAACCTGAGGGGATATTATCTGTGGTGGCCTCAATCTCAATGAAATAGAAAGCTACATAATATCCTTTTAGAATGTATGTGTATCTGAGTGTGGAGTGAAGGGAGTGGGCTATGTTGTTGGTGCAGTGGAGAAGGAGATGAGAACAACATGGAAGGATTGTCCAGCATCAGGGTTGTCTATCATGAATATGTAATGTGTAATGTAGCTTATAATCTGTAGCAGTGGAGAGAGGTAGCCTTACTGTTAACATCATATATCCATCAAATCACTGAAAGGTAAATTCAGAGCATTTTTCAGTCATTAAAAACAATCTAGTTGTCTCTAAGTCTGCAGCTAAAACCAAAAACAGAAAAAAAATGCTTTCTCAGAAGAGTTTCAATGATGAACAATGGATGATTACTGTTATAACTAAGGAGGTCCCAGATATTCTTGCCATCCTTTCACCTTCATTAATAGTTTGGGTTTAAACATATTTGATTTATATTTTAAGCCTACTCAGTGGGAAGAAAATGTTATCTTTTTAAAAGTTGATAGTAACAATCTCTAGACAGTAAACCTGCTCAAATTAGGATTTTTTTCTCCCTCTTTTTCATGAAAATTCAGGTTGATCTTTCACATCTTTTCTCTTCCTATCCTTAAGTTGTTTTTTGAGAGCTAGTTATTTTTAGAGTCATCAATCTGGCACTTGAACAATAGTCACAGAACAAAATCCCAATACCTGGTCTGGAGGTGGGGAGGCAGTTCCGTGATAAACATTGATTAATACCTTTCACTTCATCTCTCAGGAACTCAATTATTTCATCTGTAAAATGAGGGCATGGGATGGTGGCCTTTGAGATCTCTTCTAGATAACGATCCTATGATCTTTACAAGTTGGATGCTTAAATGAGGTAATGGATATATAGTACTCTTGCAAACTTTAAACATTATTGTTATTGTTATTATTACTATCGCCATACTCTAGTCACCAGCCTTCCAGTTTGGAGATGGCTTTGTTTTCTGAGCCTCCTGCTGTACTCCTGCTAAGCTCAAGAAATATTTATAAAGTGATATAAAGGAGTTTGCTGGTAAATATTTAACAAATGGTCTCTGCACACACACTTTTAAGTTGATTCTGCATTATTAACACTTTCTAAAATCTAGAAAATCAACAAAACGAATCTAGCCCTGATTTATAGTTGATCATGGATCTCATGCTCACATCAAAAATTTAGCAATTGGTCATCATAAGCTGCTTAGAACTTGCTCCAGCATACCTCTGTTATTTGCTTTCAGTATTACAACTCCAAAATTACTCTTCAAAATATGTCAAATATCATTAGTTAGTCGTGAGGTCAGTTTTAAATCAGTATTTGCTAAATTTCTTATATATTTAAAGAAGCAAAGGTTAAAACTAATCAGCTGTTAAAGTTATTGCCATTCCTTAAGTCACTTCAATAGGATAATGTTAAATTTTTTCTTTAAAAGCCCAGAGTGGTCAACATGTTACATTGTAAGAAGACTGCAGTTATATGGTTGGTATTACCAGAGTAAGGACTCATAGGGACAAGAATATAATTTCTCTTGTTATGCTTGTAGACAATATGGAGAGATGTAGATAACATAATCATAAAATTAGATGAATGTAGAATTAGTTGAATGCTTGGACCCAAAAGAATAACCTTTAATAGTTCCATGTCACTTTTAAATGAAGTCTCCAAGGAGTGTCCTGGGGATCTGTGTTTGGCCCTAAATTGAATGTTTTTATCAATGATATAGATAAAAGTTTAGATGATCAAATTTGCAGATGATATAAACCTAAAAGGCATAACTTATATCCAGGGATTTGAAATGGGATTCAAAAAGACTGACAAATGTGAACATTGGGCTGAATAATATAATAAGAAATTTAAGAGAGATAACTATAAAGTGTTATACTTAAGTTAAAAAAAATCTAGTATCAAAGAAAAGGAAAAAAAAACTTCTTAACAATTAGAACTATCCCTGAAATGGAAGGGCTACCCCTGGAAATAGTGGGTCTCCTCTCACTGGAGGTCTTCTGGTAAGAAGATATGTTAGATATGATGGAGAGGGGCTTTTTGTAGAGAGGTTGGTTGGATTAGTTAGCTTCTCAAGTCCTTCTCAACTTTTAGATTATGTGATTGATTAATTTGAGTTTATATTATACTTAATATTTAGAAAGTGCATTCATGAACCAATCTGACTTGAATCCTAATCATTATAAAAGGATATTTATATATGTATACTTTTTCTCCAATCATCAAACAAAACCAAGAAAATATCAATAGACGTTTCATAAATATTTCTTATAAATTCTATGCTCTCACATTTTTGTCATTTTTATTGTTTTTCCTTTACCTTGTATGCTTCTCTTCAGTAGTACATTTTATTCTTCTGGTCAGTTCTTCTTATTCTTGTAGAATTATGTACTTCAATAATTCTTCTGTCATAGAGTTTTTATTCTGAAGATGGTGATTCTTTATTTTTCCCTTTGCCTCTTCCTTTTAATAAGATGCAAACTTTTCTAACTCTAGCTTGTCTGCTTCCTCCTTTCCCCTCCCCTAGAAGCTTGACTGGTTCCAAAAGTGTTTTGCTCTGGTACACTCAGAAACTAAGGGTTGCTATATCTTTACCTTCCCACATCCTTCCTTTGGTCAGGCATTGTCTGTCCTGTCAAGGAACTAACCACTGGTTGATTATGTAAGACCTTCCACATGACATGTCTGCTTTGCCCTAGTTCTCCTATTCCCACTAGTTTTTTAAATAACTTTTTAAAAATTATTAACTTAATAAAGATCAACAAACATGAACATTTAACATACATAGAAAAACAAAATAGGAGATTGTCTATGAATGATGAATTTTAGTTAGTCTTTTTTTCCCATAATGTGGAGTTTTTATGTATAATTCACATTTGAATAGTAGTTTCAACCCTGCCCTACATTTATGTCTTTTTCTGAATTTTCTGCTGTACTTTTCTGGTCTGGTTCATTAACATGTTTTTATTTCCTTTTTTACTCCCCTGCAGCCCCACTCTTCACTCCTCACTACGAAACAGAAAAAAAAAAGGCAAAAATTATTCTTTGTAATGAGTAAGTATGGTCACAGAAAACAAATCTACTTATTGGCTGTGTCTAAAAATATCACGTTCTGAACCTTTAGTTCAGCACTTCTCTGCTAGGAGGTTGGTTGATGCGTTGATCATAGTTCTTAAGTATCTTAGAGTTGTTTTTCTTTACAATATTCTAGTCATTGTATAAACTCTTCTTATTTGGTTCCATTCACTCTACAACAGCTCATAGAAGTCTCCCCAAGAATCATGGACTCTTTCTCTTTTATCTTTTCTTATGGCTTAGTAATATTCCATTATATTCAGATACAATCATTTGTTCAGCCATTCCCCAATTGATGGGCACCCACTTTGTTTCCAGTTCTTTGTCACTACAAAAAGTGCTGCTGTAAATATTTTTGTACATATGGATCCTTTCTCTTTAGCTTAGATCTCTGATATATTAGCCTAGTAGCAGTGTCTCTGGGCCAAAGGGTTAGCACACTTTAATGACTTTTGAAGTGTAATACCAAATTGCATTCCAGAGTATCTATTCTCCTATCTGTCCTCCAACAATTGTTATTTTCCTTCTTTGTGAACTTTGCCAATTGCCTCTCCCTAAAAACATAAGAGAAGGTAGAAGTGACTAAGGTGTTATTCTCTTGGTCCTTGCCAAAAATATCCACTCAAAATTATGAGCATTATTGTTTCTCTGTTATCTTTTATTAACCTTATTAACCTTCATACTGACTCTTACTCATGCCTCAAATGCTCTGTCCCCTAAACTCTACGTTTAACTTTCCCTAGCTTCCTTCAAGACTCAACTCAAATCTCATCTTCTTCAGGAAGCCTTTCCTAGTCCCCTCCCCCAGACCCCTCTTAGTTGCTAATACCTTCCCTTTCAAATTAATTATCTTCATCTACTCTGAATATATCTTGTATGTAACCACTTATTTACATGTTGACTCCCTTTTGAATCACTAGCACTTAGGTGCCTGGCATATAAAACGTACTTAATAAATATTTGTTGACTGACCCACTCATATGTCTTCCTCCCTATGTCCCAAGGGTCCTGGAGAGATATTGAGAATATTTCTTACTCCCTAGGGCCTGAGAACTTCCTGAAGGACAGAGGTATAGTCTAGATGAGGTCAAAGAATAGATTTTGGAGGGGTGAGGGAAAGGCAGAGATGTAATAACTGAGAGTTATGATTAGATAGAGGAATGTTGTCAGGGTTTGTTTTTTTTTTTTATCAAGAAAGTGGAACACTTATAGATAATGATGAGTTCCCAGGTGTGAGTAATGGTGTATGTGGGTAATGATGAGATCCTATGTGTGGTTAACGTGGAATGAAGAAAGTCATAAAAACCAAACCCTGACAACATTCCTCTATCTAATCATAACTCTCAGTTATTACATCTCTGCCTTTCCCTCACCCCTCCAAAATCTATTCTTTGACCTCATCTAGACTATACTTCTGTCCTTCAGGAAGTTCTCAGGCCACTAACCCTGCTCTGAATTAATGTTATTCGGTCTTCATACTAAAATTATCCAATTCAACTCCACACTGTCCTCTATTCTTTAATCCCTTAGGCCCTAGAACTACTGTTGCTTATCCTATACCAAGCCTTAGACCTGAATAAATCCCATCACCCTCCTTAGTTACTCGCATTCTGCAGAACGAATCTGGAAGAAGTCTCACAACCATGCCATTTGGGCATGGTATAAAGCTAAATTATCCAACTTTAACTGAGCCCTCACTACCACAAAGCAGTCCTTTATTCTTCCCTAAATGATTCTTTGCGTCACTTCTCACAGAATCTATTCCCAACCTTCTCTTTTTTCCTTAAGTCTCCCACACCTTCCCCTACCCTTTCCCTTTTGTCAGGGGATCTCATCTGTTCATTCCCATTTATCTATCTGAGAGTGAATCCTGTTAGTATATGTCTATCAATTCCCTCTATCTCTTGGGTATCAGGCCTTAATCAGAAATTTGCTTCAACAATTTTTTCCCCCAGTTAACTGTTTCCCTTGTAATTCTAAATGCATTCATTTTGTTTATGTAGAAACTTTTAAATTTAATATAATCGAAAGTGTTCATTTTCTCTCTTATCATGTTCTCTATCCCTCATTTGGTCAGGAAATCTTCTGCTGTCCATAGCTGTGAAAGATAAAGTCTTCTTTAATGTGTTTATGACATAACTTTTTTTTTCCACACTGAAGCTCAACTTTTTTTTTTCTCCACAGTCAAGCAAAATAAATTTCCCATAGTGGCCATGTCCAACAATGTGTGTCATTTTGCACAGTTAGTCCATCATCTCTCTGTCCGGAGAAAGCTAGCATTCTTCATGATCAATCCTCTAGAATGATGATTATTCAACGTATTGATCAGATTTAAGTCTTTCAAAAAAAATTTTTTTATAATGGTGTTACAGTATAAATTACTCTACTTTTGCTTACTTCATTCTACATCAGTTCATACAAGTTTTCACAAGTTTTCTTTGAAACCATCTCTTTCATAATTTCTTGTAGCACAGTAGTATTCTATTACATTCATATACCACAATTTGTTCAGCTGTTCCCTAATTGTTGGGCATCTCCTTATTTCCAGTTATTTTCCACTACAAAAAAAACTGTGATAAATATTTTTTTTTTGTAGACAGGGGGCTTTTTCCTCTTTTTTAAAAAGTCATTTTGGGATATATGTCTAGTCTAGATATTACTTTGTATCATTTTGGAGCTGATTGTGACATGTTAGAGTGAGATAATGATTTAAACTTAATTTCTGACAGACTGCTTCCAAGATTTCCCAGCAGTTATTTTCAAACAATGTGTTTTTATCCCAGTAGTTGGGAGTCCTTCATTTTTCCCCCCAAAATTTTGCTACTATGTTCATTTGCTCTGGGTCTTCTAACATAATGTGCTCCATTGATCAACTTTTCTGTGTTTTTTTTTTTGACCAGTACATGACAGTTTTGATAATTATTGTCTTACAGTATATTTTGAAATTTGGTCCTGTTGGGTTCTTTCCTTTTAACTTTTCATTATTTCTCTTGAAATTGTTTACCTTTTATTTCCCCAGATGAATGTTATTTTTTCTGACCCTTTGGTTGTTCAATTGATATGCACTCAATAAGTAAATTAATTGATTGTTTTGCCAATTTTTATCTTGTTGGCACATCTCAAATATGAGCAATTAATATCTCTTTAATTATATAGTTGTGTTTTTATTTTGTAAAACTTTCTCTTGGCTCCAATGTTTGCACTTTCAAGTTTTTATTCATTTTTGTTTTTGTAATCAGGAATGTTCTATTAAATTTCCTTTTCTATCTCTTTCTGCTGAGTTTTGTTGGGAATACAAAGAGAAGCTGATCACTAATGTAAACTTATTTTGTGTCCTGTTACTTTACTGATATTAATTGCTTCATTTATTTTTTAATCAAATTCCTAAGTTTCCCCAACTAAACCTTCATAATATCTGTAAAAAGTGAAAATTTTATTTCCTCTTTGCCTGATGCTTATTCTCTCAATTACTTTGTTATGGCCAGCATTTTCAGGATTATATCAAATAATAGTGCTCACAGTGGACATCTTTGCTTTATCTCTGATCTTATTAGAAAGATATTTAGCACTTATTGATTATGCATAATGTTAGCCCTTGATTTTAAATATATACTACTCATCATGTTAAAGGATAGATCTTCTAATTTTCCCCTAAGTTTTTCAAAAACTGTTTTTAAGATAAAACAGTATTGCATTTTGTCAAAAGATCTGAATCTATTAATGGAATTATATTATTTTTATTGTTTTATTATTAATATAGTCTATTATTTTTTTGTTTTATTAATATCGAATCAACCTTGTATTCCTAATATAAATTCAATATGAACACAGTGAATAAACTTTTCAGTAGGTTATAATCTCTTCACTAATATTTTATTCAAATTTTCCATTAGTTAATTAGGGATATTACTATATATTTTTCTTTCCCTCATCCCTCCCTGTTTTAGGAACTGGTATCATATTTGCTTCATAGAAGGAGTTTGACACGATCTCTTCTTTCCCTATCTTTGCAAATAATTTATCCATTATTAAAACTAACTATTCTTCAAATATTTGTTGAAATTCACTTTTAAATCTATCTGACATTGTTTCTTCTCCTCCCCCTCACCTCGCACCTTTAATACTTCCTTTATGGCATGCTCAATTTTTTTATTTTCAAGATTGAGTTTTAAAAATTCTTGTTTTTTTCTTCTGTTAATATAGATATTTCACAATTTTATAAATATTCATCTAGTTCATTAATCAGTTTTATTAACATATGACAGGGCAAAACAGTTTCTAGTATTTCCTCTATTTTCTCTTTATTTGTTATGAAGTCTTCTTTTTCATTTTTTGTATTAGCAATTTAGTTTCCTTTTCATTTTTGTATTTTTGTATTTTTTGTTTTCAATTTTATGTCTGATTTTCACAATTTATTGCATTCACTTAACATTTTTTGATTTGTTCTTTATAAGTTTAAAAAAAATTTCATTCCTAATTCATTGACTTGCTCTTCC